GTTGCCGAGTTTCTTCGTATTATTCCCTTATTCTCTTCGAGTTTTGATTTATCGAAGTGGATATTCTTCACGTTAAATTTTTTCGTTGCTCTTCCTTGGAATCTTTCACGTTGTACGCTTTGTTGTTCCTTTGCTCGAATAAAATCGAGATTTCTAATATAATTCCAATATAGCGACGTATAATAAAGGAAGATAATTGAAAAATTTCCATCGTTTACGATTTCTTTAATTTTAAATTTCGAACATTCTTGCATCGTGAGAGAAACGGCGATTAAACTTGGTGATTGATGAACTCGACTCGACTTTATTACAGTTTGGCAAAACACATTGTCGTTCGATCCTCATCATTCGTCCCCCATCTATTGAAAATTCCTCCACCGCTATGAGTACACCTTCAGTATTTATTCACTCTTCCTCTTCGTTTCTTATTAGATCGAGATTTATCGAGCGAATCTTCCCATTTCATTCCAATATACCAAAATTCAATCGATCGTTTTACCTTTATTTAATTCCTCTAATTCGATCCAAACCGCTGCGAACGGATCGCGACGAAAGGAAACTTCTCGTTGTTTCACCAAAAAGAATAACGACGCGCGCATTGCTCGCGAATTTATAATACAATATATTCTTTCTATCGTCGCGAAACAAATTGTCTACAAATACTGCAACAATGGTCCTTTCGAAAAAAGGACGATTTCACGCGCAAACGTCGCAATTAAACTCGAGCTGGAATAACGGAAAGCGGGCCGGTTGAATAACGATTAAACAAACATCGTCTGTCGCCGTAATTAGTAGAGCCGACCGCTTTTGTCGTGCGAAAAATACACGACGGGTTTCGTAAAAATGGAGGGGGGGGAGGGGCAATTATGCGTCCACGCAAACGTTCCATTGTTCGTGTATATTCGCCTTTTAGCTGACCGGCCAATTGTTATTAGCATAGCGACAGATATTTCATTGTTGCGAAAAAAAGAGTGAAAAAAAAAAAAAGGAAAGAAAAGAAAGGAGGTGGAAAATAAAGAGGCGGACCGATTAAGTGGTACGAGAGAAAAGTGGGTTGGTCGTGGTATATCTATGGCTCGTGTCCATTCTCCAAGGGGAGAGGAAGAAAGAAGGGAGGAGCCGGATGACTCTGAAAAGAACGAAGTGGATCAGAGGAATCCGGTGACACCGGTCGGATTAACGAAGAATGAAAAGGGATTCGGAAATTTTCGTTCTTTGCCCGATCCATTTCTCACTCTTGGAGAGGCCTAATAGACATGTTTATGCTTCTGGCTTGTTTATGGGCCTACTCCGCGCTAATACGGATTTATCAATTTCGCGTTCTTCGCTTTGTAATCGGGGATCTGGAAATAATTTTCACTCGACGATGAAAATTATCCTTCTCCGTACTTATCATTTTCTAATGTATCAGAATAATTTGCCGTTTGTTCAATATTCTGATTAGAAAGGCAATTATAAAAATTATTCTCGAAATTTAATTTAATTTTGGACAAATTTTTAATCGTTCGCCCCGTGAGAAAGAAATAAAGCGAAATAACTTTTTCTTCCTGTAAGATGTAATTAACAGTATCCGAATATACTTGGAAAGATCGAAAATAAATCAGCTTTCCTAGAATTCACTGGGTCGAGATATATTCCAGTTCGTTTGTTAAATAATTATCATCGGTTGAAACCATTGGCTGCGAATTATTTATGCGAAGCGCTACTAATAAGATTTTCGCGTATAAGAATAACTGTGGTAGAAGAAGAAGGGAACAAAAGGAACGCACAATTGCGAAATCTCATGCATTACGGTTGATCCAGATCTTTTTAAGATTCGTTTAACGCGTGGATCTTAATTCCCTTTCCCCCCCTCCCCCCTCCCTCCCTCCCCCTCCCCTCTCTTCTCTCTGGGATATCGCGAAAGAAACGTAGCGAGGAGAGGTCACGTGAAGCAGTTACGTTGGCTCGATTAATACGACTCGTGCTCGAAAGATGCGTAGGGACGACGAGAAGTAATATAAAACTCGGAAGACTTAACGGGTTATATTTTAAAATCCACTGCAACCGTACAGGTTGATTAATGTTGCTCGCTGCAGTACGAATTTCCACGCTGTTTTGCATACCATTCCTATAAATAGTCCTTCTCGAATACGCGAAGAAAGAATAGGATGGAATTTCTGGATTTTTTCGCGGTATTTGGTATAAATTTTTAAATTTATTCCCGTGGATCGTTAGAAGAAATATATCCGTAACGCGAGCAAAGAGTTTTGAATAATATCGATGCTCGAGTAAAACTCTTATCCGAATTTTGAATATTGGCGAAGTTGGGGACAATTTGAATAGAAGTTTGAATACTTTCGACGTTCGTTTGTTATCTCGTCGAGAACTCGTAATCGTGGGAAAGAAGGCATCGGGTCTTGGGTTTTAAGGCAAAGTTAAAGAAATTTATGGTCGAATTTCGAAGAGGAGAGATCCTCTTATCTTTATCTTCTTCTAAAATTTCCTCGTGTCATGTTTCTCATCTTTCTTCTTACAAGAAACACATCTATTGTTTGCAAATGATCGAAATGAATGGAATTGAGAGAAGTTTTTAATAACCGATATAAAGGTTCTTTAATGCAATATTCATCGCAATATGCTCTATGAAGCATAGCACACGATATTTCAATGAATCGATATGTTTTCGCAAGACAGTTTTTCAATTTATCAGAACTTGGCTCAGAACTTTTCATAAATGCCAAACGAAATTTATCGTCAGAAAAATAGAAAAAGAAGAAGACGATCGCGTGCACTTTCTTCCAAACACCCAATTCTCAATGAGATTCCGCTAAATAACAACATACGAATCGCAATGTTGCAAATAATATTTCAAGATACTCGTTGAAAGCTTGTGCTCGTCGAAAGAGGAAAAATCATGTTCCAACAATCAATTTCAAAATTTTTTTTTTTCATTCTTTCCATCATGTTCATCAAATTTATCAGTGTAACGACGTGACGCCGAGCTGCGTCGATGCCACACGAGGGGCGCAGTATCGATTTTTATCGGCGGTGACGCGAAACATGGCCCCCAGAAAATCCACCCGATCGAATGGCTCTCCCTCTCTCTCGAGTGAATCTTTAAATTGATTCCTCTGCGAATAACCTTCAGCCGAGCAATTCTCGTGTGACACAATGACCCAGTCGAGCGTTTCGTCGCCTCAATGAAATATTAGACGCGCCTCGTAGAAAATTAATCCAGACACGTAACCTTATCCTCGAACCGCCGCCACACGTTTTCCGCGTTTAAACCGCTTCGAGTCGATCGAGGGCTCGCGATATCCGATGATTTGGAAAAGTGGGTCGAAACGCAGTTGGATACGATGAAAATGAATTATTTCATTTTTCGCTCTCGATGAAATGATCGAGAAGGGAATTTCTTCGTTCGCCAGGATTTAATTGGTAAAATTGAAGAATTCTGGAAAATGAGTACGGTTTCCTTTGGAAAGAAATATTCACAAATTGTCTCCCTCTATCGGATTTTTATCTAAGATTCAGGGAAAAGATGGTCCATTAAACTTTGACGCATCAGCCCCCTTCGGTCTCTCATCTTCTGTTACTTTCTCTTCCGAATTCTCTAGATGTGTATAGGATCTCAAAGAGATCTCTTGTTCATGGACGAGCATTGGAAGCAAAGAGGCGAATGTAAGAACAAAGAAAACGTATTTAAAATCGTTCTAATTGCGAGATAGGCTCATCTTGCGCCACGATGAATTTTCATTTTACAAAGGTAAAGATTACAAAGGTTCTTCGACCGGGATACTCCGGCCTGAATACTCGTTTCAGTTCTTCCTTCTCCCTGCGAAATTCCGAAGAAAAGAATCGCTCTTCCTGTTCTCGATTCTATCCCCGAACAACCGAGGTTTTTGCGGGTGTTGTTAACTTCTACAGAGACGAAAGATACTTTGAGTACAACGTATGCTCCAAAGTATAATGCTCCTTGGCTGGGATGAAAAGTGTAGAGAGAAAAGTGGCCACGAGGAAGAAATATGGCTGGGTCTCGTAAATGGATGACGTTAATTTTACGCTGGATTATTATTGTTGGGAACAGATGCGACAGGTTATGAGATTGGGTTTCGTATGTTTTGATAAAGAGATGTGTGATAAGGATAAGCTTTTCTTTTCGTGAAATTGTTTTTTAATAAGTGAACTTTTTTCTTATTGCAATTAATTTTGTGTTCTGATATACAAATATCTGCTGAAGTTTGATGAAAAGATCATTGGAATATGTATAGATTTATACGATCTTGTACAAATAATGCGATCTTTTTGTCGTTTCTCGAATTCGAAAAGCAGTTCAGTGAATTTGTCAAGCTTCTTTCGATTCCCCACAGGTAAGTTAAAAATAAGATGCGTCAATTTGCAGAAAAGTTTCTCGTTCGATCAAATATTCTTTGAAGATTAAACATTTCATTGATCGAATCCCGTAAGGAGATTTCACGATTGAATAGTTTCAAATGAGGTGAACGATACAATCTTTGAACTTTGAACTACTTGCATTTTTTAAGAATCCAACTTGCTAAGTCTTTAATATTGTTCGTCCCGAGGGAGAAGCGAAATTTTTTTGTGCCGTTCCTTTATTAAATTCCAATTTCTTTTTTCTTTTTATCGTCCTTACATTCGACGTAGCAGAGAAAAAAACAGAACAAGGAGAACTTGATGGATAAGAAAAAGAATGCGATAGAAAATGATAAACTCTCGAGGGATGATTTTTGAAAAAGAAAATTTTCTCTCGCCTCGAATGGAAGAACGAGGACGTAGGGAATAACTCGAGGATTATATTTTTCAATCAGTTGTGCATAATTTTCCAAACACAAATATTCAGAAATTACATTGGCCAAAAATATTATTTGTGAGTTTCGTTTCGTAAATTTAATTGCATAGAGAAGATTTGTTTCGTTGAGAAGATACGAACATTTGTGATTTGTGTACGAGTCTTAAGTTCACTGTTTAAAATTGTAATACAAAATTGACATAGATACCTGCGGTATTCGAAAAAGTCGAAGAAGGTTTGCCACTTGGATGGATGTGACTGAGCTCGCTGCTCCAACGACTCCGCTGATAACTTTTCGCACGGCAGTTTTATTGCAATGATCCTCGGCACCGTCTATATTGCTTATCGATCCTGAAACACAATTCGTACACGTGATATTAATTTTCCGATTAAACACAAGATTTTTCCATATATTTTATCTTCCTCGGAATGGAGCTTGTGTAATTACATTACACAAAATGTAAATGTAAAATGATATAAATGTAAATTTTAGTTTCTGTACACGCGAATGATAAACAACGTTACAATGTTGGCTGGATCTTAACTTTCGACTTTCCTTATCAAAGAATACGTTCAATTGTTTCGTAGATTTTTAAAGGTGCTACATCAAATTTCGGTCCCCCCCCCTTGAATTCCAATCAAGTGATTTACATTCGAAAGAAGATGGATCATGCAAACTCGGTTCATTGAAAATTCATCAGAAAAATGTATCTTTGTACGTACGCGAAATGTAGAAAGGAAAATCTTTTTGTTCCTCTCTAATGCTATCTAAATATATTTTTCATTGTCGAATACAGTCACATTCAAACGATAATATTAAGAGTCTCGTTCAATATGCATTGGTAGTTAATTCTACAATATGATAATAAAACAAAAAAGAAAAAAAAGAAAGAAAATAACCCAATGTTAAGGAAAAGAAAAATAAAAGATAGATCTTTAAAAATGCATTACCTTTTAAATTGATTGATCTCTAATTAATTTTCAAATCATAGAATTTTTCGTGCAATCTTTAAGGCCAATGGCATTATTTTATTTATCCTAAAGAATATAATTTTCCATTCTTAATAAATTTCATTCTGAAAGGGTAAAATAATGACATCAAAATTTACATTTATGTTCGTTTGTTTTCTTTTTTTCTTTTTTTTTTTAAAAATTACGTAAATAGTAAAATACTGATTCAATATCTGTGGCCGACGTGGTAGGTCACGTGATGCAAGCAGGAGTAGGTCAGGAGACGATGACTCGTGATCGCGTTCCACTAACTTTCTACTTATTCGCGAATCGAAGTTTCGCAATTCCAGACTTTTCTGATTCATTCAAAGGAATATGACACGTGAAAATGGCACGTAAGACAGCATCAGATATTTCTCTCATCTCTCGTGTTCTCTTATATGTTGAAGCAGTGATTTTTAGCGAATAGAAATCTTACTTACGTTTCTCTGCGTCATACGAAATGTCTGGATGCGAATTTTCACTACGTTTAAAAAAAGAGGAGGAAAAAAAAATAATAATAAAAGTGCGAGAATAACTTCTTGCTTTCCAACGATATAAATTTGAACGAAACGTTGCGAATAATTTTGGAATTATAAGTGCGTGTAATTTTTAAAAATAGCGAGGTACGAATGGTATAAATTTTAGCAGCTCGTTAAAATTCATTTCGATTCGATACGTTTTAATTCGTTTCGGCATTCAGCGTTTGTACACTTTCGAAAATTGTGTATCCCTCTGAACGAACGTAATTCCAAGTTTTGTATATCTTTTCAAAGTAGAAGGAAACGTGGGTTGCAGCTCGTGACGGAATTCCAGATGAATTCCCTCCCCCCTCTTCTGATTTTCGGAAGAGACTCGAATTACAATTTTACGCTTCGCTTGTGCTTTACACGGCTTTTGCTACGTGACTCTATACCGTACGTGCTTGTTAACTTTTGCTGAAACGCACACGTGTAATCGCGACACATTCCCTCCCCGAATTTTGAATTAATTATGCTTTCCAGAACAATGCGTCTCTCGTGAAATAATCCGCTCTTCAATTCGCAAGTATTTTATCCTCAAAATCCATTCTTTCTCGTGAATCTTGCGAATTATTTTCACTTTCACTTTTTCCGCTCGCGAAGTTCCGTTATACCGAATCGCCGATTTGTTTCTCCTTTTTCTTCTGGCATGTTAAAAATGGCGTCGATTTTCCTTTCGTTCATCGCCGTTCATCTCTGCGGGGAAAAATTGTTAAAATATCTTTCTCATAAATTTGTTGGAGAAACGCGTTAATATCATTCGTGGACAATTTGCTGCAAAAGTTCTCAGAAGTCTGATCGAAAAGTTAAGATAAATCAATTTCGTATAATTACGATAGAAAGGATAATAACGAAGGTGATGGATTATGGAAAAGAAACTTTTAACGTGTTTAAAAATTGAAGTATTTAAAAAGTTAACCGCAACGACAATTTGATAAAAAAGAATTTCTTTGAGGCCGTTAAATTAGTTCATATAGTTGTTGCGGTGTTGGAAAGCATGCCGCAGCAAACTTCACCAAGCAAGCCAGTTTACAAATGTTCGTAACGAGATAACGAATCTTATAAAAGGAACGTCTTCTTTTCAATTACTCTTGTCTGCTCTTGTTTCATTGCGGCAATTTATACAGCGTTGTATCGTATTCTGCGCCAACTTCTGTTTCTGCTTAAATAAAACATTTAAATAAGTATTCAAGTATTTCGTTTCATCCCCGATTCGTTGTTTACATTATCGATATCATTCGATTGGGTATCGATCAAATAAAATACACGGTATAAATTTTACTTTTAATCATCGATACCATTTTTCTCGCCTAGTCTCAATTTGACACACAATTTGATTAAAAGCTCGATGAATATTTGAACAATCCTCCCTCCCTTTCCATTCGATCGATATTTCCTCGACGAGGGGAGTATCATTTAATGCAACAAATAACCCTTTTCGAAACAATTATTCTCCACTTGTATCTTGTAATCGCAACTAATCGATCGTCGAATTGTTTCGTCGCCAAGTAACGAAGATTAATCGGTGTTCTTTGTTAAACAAATTTACAACATGTAATGGAATTTATCGGCGCGTGATCGATACCAGTGACATCTATTAGAAATTTAATTCATTAAGAGTCGCTCGTGATGAATACTCGTCGATTAAAACTCTTCGCTTCGATCATAATAATTTTTTTATTTAACAGATTAGATTAACTTCGACAAGTCGCGAACCTTTTCCAAGGATCTCGAAAATTAATTAATTAAGTCGAAAGTTCAAAATTCATGGTTGATGGAATAATGTGGTCGATTTTATTCGATATTCTCGTCACGCCACGTATCGGCCGATCGTTGTCAATCGCCCGCCCTGATCCACGTTTCGAATTAATATGATAATGAGCCGGATTTATGGGCCGCGTTGCAAATTGTTTCGTTATTGCTTTGGTTATCTCGAATCGGTTAATCGTGTTCATCGTGATTGCGGAAATATCGACAAAGAACAAATTGACAAGATTTTGTTCGTTTACGAGATGTAAATAAATTAATAATAAAGAGAAAGAGGCAGTGTGGATATATTGGAATATATTTGTACTATTTTGAAAATTTTTAAATATTAAAATATTAGAACAATTTTATATTATCTTATCTTTGTAAGTTAAAAATCTTTTTAATATGTTTATCCATGGATTACACTTTTAATAGTGACAAGATTTTACCACGAATAATATAAAATGAAGTATTTAAAAAACGCGAGTGGCAATTATTACCAACGATAAAAATACAATTTGCTCGACGAAGAAATCGTTGATCTTCAAAATCGCGAAGATAATTTCAAATGGAATTTTGTAAAAAAGTATAAAAGTAAAAAAAAGGAAGATCGATTGTTTAAATCTACGAATGTATGTCGTTAATTTATTTCCGAATTTATCAATCTTAAAAATTTCGTTCACATTTCTCTTGCGATGTTTTCTATTCTGGCTCGTCTGGCTCGCGTAGAGTAGTTTCGCATGTTACACAGTGGCACCTGTTGAATCATACTGGCTTATATACCCGACCTAACTATTCGAGCACCGATACCGGGAACAAATCGTTGGAATGGAAGAACATTAAACCCACCCTTTCGTAATTTACGACGTTATGCTAAAATTTCGAGGCCGTGGCGATGATCGTGGCCGGCATTCAATCTGCGAGATTCGTTTACGATATTGAATCGAGCCGTAAAATTGCACACACGAGCCCGTTAAACCATTTATCCTGATGCAATATTCACCACGTTGTATTATATCGACATTAAAGCCTCGCGGACCGTGAAATTTGGTTAAATTTTATTGTCGAAATTCATGCGATCCGGAGCTTCGTTAATTAGCGGTTTGCATTACTTAATATCGTGAACCTTGGAAACTTTATATTGTATCAGTTTTTATAGTATCAGTTATAATATGAAATGTTATAATTAAGCGTATTTTTTTTTTCTTCTTCTTCTTCTTCTTCTTCTTTCTGCACGGTACATCGTGATTTTTTATTAAGATAGGCAAATTCGTAGGAGAGGTATAGTAGTAGAAAATATATAATTAAGGGCGCTTTAATCCTTCGATGTTGAATGGCTCGTGTGCATTTCAGAAATTTTATCACATTTTTATCGTTAATTAACCGGCGATAATAATTGAAAGATAAAGAAGAGAAATTGTAGAAGAAACGATTTGAATAATGGGGGGACTTTAAGAGGATTTAACTCGCGCTCAACGTTTTATAATAACAAATTGGGTCGCGTTTCGTTATATAAATGCAATTTCACGTTCACATTTTTATCTTTTCACTTGTCTTGTACGTCTCTCGAAGATTCCACGGTCCAAATCTTTGTATAATTGAAACCGTCTCCATTTCCAGGCTTTAAATTGTGGATAATAATTTCTCTAGAACGATGTAGCGTGGTATCGAGGTATATTTTATTTTCAAACTTTCTGAAGAATCTCCCTTAAATGAAACTAATTACGGTGGTTGACGAATCTAATTACTGTGGAGATCTTCAGATTCTGGTGAACGCCACTTAATAAAAATTCGGGAGCATTTCGCTCTAATTGTTTGTCTTATTAATTACTTTCAACATTTCTGACTCTCTCTCCCTCTCTCGATATTAATCTCGTTTAATATCCAATGGTGAAAACTTTTTCACGAAACTTCCTCTCCCGTTGAACGTTCCCCCGTTGAAAATTGAGAATAATCTTCAAAAATGAATCGACGAAACCGTGACAAAATCGTGCCTTGTCATTTTAATCTTAAACGAAACATAGCGAGATTATTCCACACGTGTGTATCTAAATTAATGAAGTTCGTCAAGAGCTTAAACCGGAGTTAAGG